AACAAAATTTTCTTTGACATTGGAACGACGCCAACATCTACATAGCGTACATGTACAATAAAAAAGCCCAAGATTCTTGACTAGGTGGTTAGTGATATAAATACTTATTTAGTTTCTGAATATCTTAGAATGCATTATTGTTTTGTAATACTTCCTCAGATAAGGAAGATCTGAAACAATAAACAGTGTTATTTTTATATTCTGGCAGATGAAGTTTCGGAGTCATGCGAACGTGTCAAGCTTTGTATGAAAACAAGCACACAGCCCATTCTATAATGCCGCTATTTCGTAACGGATATCGCGTGAACAAACTCTTTAACCCCATATTTAAGATTTATAGCTGCGAGCAGGCTAGCCCAGATTGGCTCCGCCTTAAAACAAGACAATGAAAAACAATGCTAATTTCGGTGATTTATGACATTTTACCAACCAGTTCAATTACAGATTTTGTCCGAACAACATTGCAATGGTCCGGCAGACAAACATTTGTTGTGATGTATGTAGATTTCTATAACATATGCTTAGGTATAAAATGTTTTTATCACAACAGGAAGTGCCAAAATTCCATGTAAATTTCACAATTTGGTAATGTTTCAAGGGCTGTCGCACAAAATACTGGAAAATGCCGCAACATTTTTTTAAAGAGGCTTTTAACATGGCTTACAAGCTAAACTTTAGTGGTATGTTAGTTTCTTCACTGCTTCTAACTTTTGAGATATTGCCATTAAAAAACGGCATACTTTTGTCTTAGTTGGGAAAGCGAGTTTTAGGCTATTTTTGAAAGAAAACTCCGCGCATAGTCAAGATTAATATGCGTTTTACAACATATAACGAAATAGTGTAAATCGGAGTTTTGTAGTGTCCGTAGCAGACTTTTCAATTTACCTAAATATTGTCAAATTTTCAGCGACCGGAAATGCCAATTAAGGTGTTCGGATTCAGTGGGCAAAAAAAGGCCATATCGAAAGATATGGCAAAATGTGTAAGCACAGTATTAACGTCGTATGAAATACTTTTTAACCACAAAGTTTGAAGGTGAAATATTTTTCGAACATATATGCAGTGGACCGTTCTTACAGAGACGGCCTCTTAAATACCCTAGACATCTTCAAAATCAATGACTATTTAACTGCCTTATCGATATATTTCGATACCACCACCTTAATAATTTACCAGATTTCTTTAAAAATTATTTTTTAATAAACAACCAAATTCATGAACATAACACGAGAAATGCTTCAAAGCTTCACAAATGTTATAAAAGGACAAATTATGTAAAACACACTCTCTCAAATAAAGGAGTTGATGTATGGAATTCGTTAGAAACAAATCTTAATCAAAATAAACTCCTATAACACCTTCAAAAAAAAAATTAAACAACATTTTCTACTATACACAATTGCCAATATATAAGACATGCAATATATAACATGTACTTCTTATCTATATGTATATAATATATAGTACTTCAGTATATTGTACCCAATCATTGTAAAAATTCAAATGTATCTATAACATATTTAATTTATATAATACGAAAATTCTCCCTTCTTTTTCTCTTTTGTACATATAGTATATATACGTCAAAACTTTCTGATTTTACACATTGTATTGATTGACTGTAAATAATTATGTAATCTATCGCAAATGAACAGTAACTAGAGGCCTAAATAAAAAAGTCTATCAAGATTTCTAGTTGGTCTCTAGCCCAAAATCTTTAAATTATTGTAACATATTTTAAGTAATTTTTTTTTTTTTAAATATACATGGGAAAACAATAAAACAAAAAACAACTACTATTAAGTATAAGAAGAATATGTTAGTTACCATTTTGGTCTTGCCAGTGACTAACTGTACAGATGTACATGTATATTAGACAGTACCACACTGATACACATTGGTGCTATTAATAATCATCATATATTAATTTTTATATTAATTATCACACAGTTGATATTAATTATGTTTACAAAAAATAGCGAAGTATTCTAGTTTTTTGAGCTGTTTAAAGAGTTATATAGTCTTTCATAGTTGAGAAATCAGAAGTAAGTCAAGTGAGATATATCCTATGATTAATTTATCTAGATTTATCTTAGTTACAGCACTTATTTACAAAGAAGGTGTTAAACATGTGGAAAGTCACCATGATGCATAACCAGACTTTAATATTTTCACTCGGGTAGTAAACACTCAAGCGAAAGTTAAGAACCACCCGAACATTCTTGCAGGCAGCCTTCAGCAACCCGTCTTTGAAGGATGCAAAGAAAAAACCCAGAGATCGGAAGACCCTGCCTGCGAACAAACTTGGACGGCGTAAAGGACGACCACCAGGACTCACCATCACCAGTACCTCCTGTCAAGAAGTGGTGCCCGTACTGCAAATGTGACCATCATGATCTGATCGAGTGCAAAGCTTTGCAGCAAAAGAACCGAGTGAAAGTTTAAAAATTTGAGTGAACAAACTGAGTAGATACAGAGAGCCGGACTGTGTTTTCGGTGCTTTAGGGAGGGACATCAAGCCAAGAAATGCAAAGCCAAGATAAGCTGCACAGTTTGTGGTAACAAAGGCAGACACTGTTTTGCCTAATAACCGTCCTCAAGCTATCCATCATCTCAATGGCCTACTAAAGACACTAAAGCGAAAGCCGCAAATGGAGAAAGACTACCTGGCGTTTGGTGATCAGTAAAGGACATGCAACACAGGTCCAATCAAAGGAAATATATGGACAGAGAGGCCATGTTTGGCATTTGCCGCATTTTGGAGTGTACCACCCCAAGAAACAAACTAGGTATGTGTTGTGTTTGATGCGTCAGCCAAGTTTGACGGTGTGTCGTTGAACAAGGTTCTATTACCTGGTCCAGATCTCATGAATAGCTTGCTTGGCATTTTGATTCATTTCCGCAGGGAAAGAGTGGGAGTAATGTGCGCCCTCGAGCAAATGTTCTATTCCTTTTACGTCAATCCTGAACATGGGGACTATCTACGATTCCTCTGGTACAAAGACAATGACCCCCAGAAGCAAGTGATTGAGTATCACATGAACGTACATCTATTCAGAAACAGACCAAGCCCAGCAGTAGCCACCTTTGGGCTGAGAAAGACTGCAGTGGAGGGACATGAGAAGTATGGTGAAGAGATTAAGGACTTCGTGCACCATAACTTCTACGTCGACGATGGCCTAGCGTCTCTTCCTACTGCCGAAGAAGCTATCAAACTTGTCACCAGTGCCCAAAACACCCTAGCATTGTCGAATCTAAGGCTGCACAAAGTTGTTTCCAACTCTGTAGATGTTATGGAAACTCTTCCAACAGAAGACAGAGCAAAAGACCTATGTGATTTAGACATTCGTCGGGATACCCTTCTGCCCAGCGGTCTTTTGGAGTTTATTGGGACCTTGAGAACGATGCGTTTACATTCCAAGTTTCCCCACCCAAAAAGCCTTTCACTCGCAGTGGAGTCCTTTTGGTGATAAACAGTGACAAACCTTAGCACGCCTGACATTTCAGGCTACCCGCAAAAATTTGTGAAATATCAATGAGCATATATGAATGTTTTTATAATTCTATCCCAGGTCAGGAGGCAACCATGCACGTTTTAGCTTATTGGTTAAAACTATTGGTCAATAATACTGGCATGGAATAGCATAATGGTAGTGGCAATGATAAATGATTACTGTACTGTTGATGATTTAGATTATACTTGTATGTAGAGATAGAGGCTATATTAATTAAGACATTGGCAATGGGTTGAGAAAAGTATTTGAAAAATGTCTGATGTAAATTCAATGAAGGCTGGCAACTTCACATCCTGGACAAATTTCAGCCTGGCTGATCGGGCACAAGTGAGATACCAGGGTTTGAGTCAAGTGAGATACCAGGCTAGCAGCTATAAAACTGGTTAGCCCAGTAATGGTTGAAAATTTGCCCAGCATTGCCATTGGCTGATAATTTGGTTAAATATAAATCAGTAACTGTTTGCCTTTCTTGTGCTCATTTTCCCCGAGCCAACGGCTTGAAGCGCCGTGCAAGGGTACTAATTCCCTCCGGCCATTTACACCCGGGGAAACGAAAGCATTAGCCAAGTCTAAAGTTTGTCAATGAGCACGGGTGTGGGTTACCGTGAGTGGTTCGGTGGGTGGTCATCCTCACGGATCTCAAAAATATGGCAGGCAGACTGTCATGAATAGCGGACACTGATTGGTCCAATTTAAAGTTTGCATTATATAACGACTGCATGACGACAGCGAAATAGCAAACATTTCTTGATTTGATGAGTGATAAATTTCTTGCAAATATATTTCATTTTTGCTCGCATTTTTGCAAGATTTTGTAAATTTTAAGAAAGAAAGGGCGAAGGAACCGGCTAAAAGAAGGGAGCCGACATTAACAAAGGTAAGTTTGTTTTAAATATTGATTTTATAATTGCTTTAAAACCCGACAGCCTTTGCGTATATGAAACAACTACACAAGACAGCATATAATTTCAGTGTATCTTTAATATTGATTACCTTTTTTATTATATTGAATTTTTTAAATAAAAAAGAAAGCAAAGTTATTTGCATGCGAGAATTTGAAATCATTCTAACATATATATGTTCGGAAATTGACAATTTTGTAATTAAAAGTGATATTTTTAGGCGACTTTTCATTTGTAAGAATATTCTTAAACAATTATTGTGTTACCATGACAACAACTTTAGATACTTCATGTTCTGAAAATACAATGGTTTTGTCAGCAAGGCAAGGGTTTTTGCATGCATGTATTTTCTAGTTTGATATATGAATATAACCTTAGCACCATTATATTGTTGCTGCCAAAGAATTAGCATAACATTTCCATTTAAATATACAGTCTACAGTATGATTTATAAACAAGAGAGAAATTTGATATACTGTATAAAGATAAAGATGCATACCTTTCCTTGAATTCTTCATAGGGAAGTAGTCCGAATACCATATACTTAAAATAAGCAAAATTCTTCACTCAGAGCTTTGGTCTAAAATATAATAACAAATATACTGTCGTTTAGAAAACTATTATTAAAAATATCTGTAATACGAAGGATTAGGTCGATATTTAAATAGATTTTTATATTGTGTCTTAGTGTCTATGAATCTATGATGTCTATATATACGATCAAATCTATCACAATCAATTGAAGTGAAGTCGCTACAAAACATAAAAATACTCACAGAATATTGTGCTTTATTACGAAAATAAGATCACCAAATAAACGAGACTTGATATGAACATAAAATGATACAAAAAATCGGCAAAGAAGTGTCCCACCGCCAATAATAATCTATTGTGTGGCAAAAGTCTGATAGGGAAAATAAAGCTCTTCACCAGATTAGTGATGACTTGGTTAACTCAATTCAATCCGCCAATATTAGTTTCTGATGTATATGACAGGAAGATTAAATATTAAAGAACTCAGCGAGTATTTGCAGTAGAAATACGAAAATACCGCCAAAAAAATCCGCTTGATCGATACTATAAATTCCGAAATATTCATATAATTTTATTGTTCCTCGCTCAATTGCAAGTGAATTTCTTACCTTGAAATGATCAATGCGGTGAAATTTATGCAAATGACGCATTATCAATTTTGCTGTAGCATTTTGAATGTTTCGCCTGATTCAAATGTTTGTATTTTTGCTTCTTTTTAACGTATAATAAAGGCAAATATACCAAAAGAATCGCCATCTTGCATTCTATAGCTTGGCGCAGTCTCGGGAAATTGCAAAATAATCTAAGTGTAGCAGCCGCGACTTCCGGCTGACAGACTTCCAGGTTTTTCGCGCCCTTTTTAGATTGAAGTAGCTTAGCGATATCGAACTTTGGGGCGCTTTGTTGTGTTGCGGACTTGTTCATATGTTTTTCGCCTCCTGTCATAGATATTTGTAAGTAGATTGTCAGCATTTATATCTGTTTCTGTCCAGTATTCAGTAATTCGTATTTATCTGTGTAATTCCTGTGTATTTGTATTTAGCACCGTTATTGATTGAGAAAAAATTGTAACTAATTTAAAACGCATTGAAACTTGAGGCCCCACAACCAGTCTAACCAGCCATGGGGCTAGCACAGTGAAATATCTTCTCGGCGACTCCAAACAGCAAGAAATTACGTTATGGAAACCCAGGCAGATGAAGCAACGACAGAGCCAACCGGCCAGAATAGTCCCGTTTTGAACGAGGATAACTTTACAAACGTGTTCGAAATCAGACAAGAAAATAAACCACACAGCGATCAAGGCAGTTTAAGCGAAGTCACAGAGTGTCGTCGAAGCACTAGAGAGACTAAACCAAAAAGGTAAAGAATACATTTTAGATTTGAAGAGAAATATATTCAAACAAACAAAGTGTTGTCTAGTTGATAAATTATCGTCGCTTAAAACAGAAGTAAGCACTCTAGAAAGATCGAGTATTACATACGAAATTGAACAACTAGAGACTTTATTCAAAGAATTTAATCAGGGTTTGGACGAATTACTAAAACTGCTTGAACCCAAACAGCGTGAAAGCTATATTACATAGTGTCAAAGCGTTTTGAACGACTGGAACGATGTGAAAGGTTCGTTAGTTCTAAATATGCAAAAATATGAAATTGACAACATCCGGTCTAACCACCAGGTGTCATTACCGGAAGACAGAAAATCAACCATTTCCTCTGTTCGTACTTCCTCTTATATACAAGAGAAAAAGCTGCAAGCACGCACGAAAGTAGCCGCACTCTGAAGTAAAATTGTAGTAGAAGAGGAGATTATTGAACAAAAAAATTTGCTAGCCAAACATGAAGCCCACTTAGAGAAATTGAAAATGAAGCAACAATTAGCCGAAGCGGAAGCAGAAGTGAGGTTTATGAAGAAGCCGAAAACGACCAAGATCAAATTCCTGCCCTCCCTAAAAATAAATTACCATCTCCAACCATGAGTAATAACAACCTGAATAATAAAGTAACTCATGATAATGTAACGCCAGCACCCCTCCCAGTTTTGCAAAATGTGTCAGCACCTGATAAATCCATGAACTACAATGCACCACCTTTTACCCCTCCACCAAATAGCATATGTTCAGCCCCAGTCCAACAACAGATTTTGGTGCCTGGTAACGAACAGATACCTCACACCCCCACCTCAGTGCCTGAAAATAGGCACCTGTATGATAGTAACAAAGTTATTTTAGAAGCACTGTCCCTCCAGAGATTGCCTAAACTTACACCAAAGGTATTTGAAGGTGACGAAATGGAATTTCTGCGTTGGGAATCATCCTTTGACGCCCTAGTGGCTTCAAACACCAATGACTCCAAGACCATGTTGCATTATCTATGCAAGTTTCTGAAAGGAGAACCACTGAAGATGGTAGAACATTATCAGGACTTACACCACGACGCTGATACTGCTTATTGTCAAGCTTGAGAGGAGTTGAAATACCGGTATGACAACGCCAGCATTCTCATCGCAAGTATTGACAAAAAGCTAACCGAGTGGCCGAAGATTGGAAGAGATAGTAATCGTGAGCTTCTGCATTTTAGCGACTTCTTGAATCAAGTCGAGGCGGCCATGAATAAGTACACCGCACTAAAATTCTTCGATTGTGCCAGAGAACTAGTTAAGTTGGCAGAAAAACTACCTGGATGGGCACAGAATGAATGGAAACGGAAAGTTTGGCAATACAAAGAGATAAACGGTGAAGAAAGTTTTCCCCCCTTTCTCGCGTTTTGCAGAGACAGTGAAGGTGCTTGCCCGACATGCCAATATGCCCGAGTTTGGCGTGATCACAAAACAAGAAGAGAGCCGAAGAAAAGGGTTCGACAACCAAAGAGCCAAGAGGAACTCGAGTAAGAACTTTAGCGTTTTTGGTACACGTGTAAACCAAGGAAATAAAAACGACAAGAGTACCCAGTTTAGCCCAGAGACATTCGGAGAAAGGACCGCAGTCATCAGCACAAGATGTCCTGTTTTCACTGCCAGAAAGACGACCACTCTCTTAACGACTGTAAAGACTTTCTTGCGTTTGACTTTGATAATTGAAAGACATTTCTGAGAGAAAACCGAATATATGTTTCAACTGCTTAGAAACGATGAATCACATCGCAAAGAAATGTGACCAGAAAAAACCTGAATGTGCAACATGTGCCCAGAGACACTCAACAGCTTAGCATGATCCACAACAACATCCCAGTGAACCCAAGACGGCCACAAAATGCACACAAGTTTGTAGCTAACACCAGACTACCAAATCATGTGCCAAGATTGTACTCGTGTGGCTTTGTCACCCCTCCGTCCCAGGTAGAGAAGTCCTCACCTATGCCCTGCTGGACGACCAAAGTAATGCGGTCCTTGTTAAGGAATCTGTCTTTGAGAGACTCGTAATCGAAGCATCCCCTACTAATATAAAAGTCTCAACAGTCTTAAGCAAAGACCAACTTATCGTCAGTTATCGTGTACGGGACCTAGAAGTCTCAGACTACCACCACCAGAAGTCAATACGTTTATCCACTGCCTACATCCGGGATGACCTCCCTTCAGATGACAGTGATATCCCAAAAAGAAGAGCAGCTAGTCAATGGGATCATCTGAAGGACATCGCGAAACATATTCCAGAACAACGCAAAGTAGAAATAGGCTTTGATCGGCCGAAATGTCCCGCAAGCAATGAAAACCAGAGAAGTAGTAAATGGGAAAGATGACGAACCATGGGCAGAACGCTATGACCTGGGATGGACAATAATAGGTGATGTATGCAAAGGCCCCGAGGGAAATGACAGCGACAAGACATTCAAGATCAATAGAATCGTTATACGTGATAGTGCAACGACAAAAGAAATTTATACACCCTCGGACGTGCAACGAATGATGGAGCTTGACTACTCTGAAAGAAAAGCAGAGCGTGAAGACAACACAATCCATTCTGTCGAAGACCACAAGTTCTTACAGATCCTTGAAGAAGGAATCAAGAAAGATACAGACGGGCGTTGGGAAATGCCGCTGCCCTTTAGAGATAAGACCCCCCTCCATCTACCAGATAATCGTCCACATTGTCTCAGAAGGATGATGTCTCTGAAAAGAAAGTTTGAGAAAGATCCAAAGTTGTTTAAGGATTATTCAGAATTTATGGAAAAGATCATTTCCAAGGGACATGCAAGCAAGGTTGAAGACAGCGCACATGAATTCCAACCCAGTCAAACATGGTACCTCCCTCACTTTCCAATCTATCATCACCAGAAGCCAGATCAAATCAGGGTTGTCTTTGACTGCAGCGATACATTTGAAGGAGAAAGCCTCAACAAACACCTCCTCCAAGGGCCAGACCTGATGAATAAGCTTATAGGAGTTCTTACCAGATTTCAGCAAGAAGAAATTGCCGTAACGTGTGACGTGGAGCAGATGTTTCACAACGTCATGGTAACTGAAGAGCACAGAGATTATCTTCATTTCTTGTGGTTTCAAGAAGGTGACATGACTAAGCCCATCAAGCACCTGTTCGGAGCAGTATCCAGTCCAGGATGCGCTAACTTTGGTCTTCGCAAAACAGTGCAAGACGGTGAAAGTGAATTCGGGAAAGACATCGCGAATTTTGTACGAACTGATTTCTATGTGGACGATGGATTAAAATCTGTGAAGACAACAGGAGATGCTATCAATCTTATCACGAAATCACAAGCAATGTGCGCAAAAGCGGGTCTCTGTCTTCACAAGTTCGCCAGTAACTCTGTCGAAGTCCTTGAAGCTGTGCCAGCCGAGGACCGTGCAAAAGAGATAAAAGATCTCGATCTACGTCATGACACCCTCCCGATTCAAAGATCACTCGGTACATATTGGTGTATAGAGTCGGACACGTTCCAGTTTAGAATAACGTTAAAGGACAAACCCTTTACACGCCAAGGCATTCTGAGTACGGTCAGTTCGGTTTACGATCCACTTGGAATCGTATGTCCAGTAATTCTCACCGGGAAACTGCTCTTGAGAGAACTAGTTCAACAGAAAGCTGATTGCGATGATCCAGTACCTGAAGAGATTCGCCCACGTTGGGAGAAATGGAGAGCAGAATTGAAAGACTTAGAAAAACTGGAAACGCACTGTTGTTTGAAACCGCCAAGCTTTGGAGAAGTAAAGTCTACGGAGATACATAGCTTCGCCGATGCCAGTCAGTCCGCAGTGGGATAAGTTTCTTACCTTAGGCTTGTGAACGAAGAAGGTCAGGTCCACGTTTCGTTTTTGATGGCCAAAGCGCGAGTCGCTCCTTTGAAACTCGTATCTGTACCAAGACTTGAACTCACAGCTGCTGTTACTTCTGTGAACGTTGTCCAAGAACTTTCTAGAGAACTGGGTTATGACGTAGATGCCGACATCTACTATAGTGATTCAACGGTCGTTCTTGGATATGTCCAAAACGAAGCCCGCCGCTTCCACGTTTACGTAGGAAATAGAGTACAAGCTATAAGAAGCAAAACTTCCCCAGAATCATGGCACCATGTAAAAGGCAAGGATAACCCAGCCGACATTGCCTCAAGATCCGCCACACCGAAGGAATTGTTAGACTCTTCCACCTGACTAAACGGTCCAGATTTCTTATGGCAAACAGAACTACCCGAGAACACAAGCAGTTCGCCTCCCCTCGATGAGAACGATCCAGAAGTTAGAAAGGTTACCGTCCACGCTGTTCATGTGAAGTCGCAGAAAAGACCCTTAGACATGGACATTCTGAATCGCTTCTCTTCGTGGTTTAAGCTAAAACATGCAGTAGCTTTAGGGACAAAGTACGTCAATATACTACAAATCAGAGTATCCCAGAAAAGAGCAGGTCAAGAGCCAAATGTCCGCGGGAAAAGTTTGTCTATGTCGGTACTCGTTGAAGACTTACAACAAGCAGAACATAGAATCATAAAGAATGTTCAACAGCATTATTTCCATGAGGAAGTGACCGTCTTACAGAACCTAAAGGACGGACAGTTCAAAAACTATGCAGAAACCAAAACAAGGAACCAGAAGCTAAAACACATCAGTTCACTGCACCGCCTCGACCCGTTCGTAGACCAGCACGGAATTGTTCGAGTCGGTGGACGAATTAAACATGCAGATGTCACATTTCAACAGAAACATCCAGTTGTTCTACCAAAGAATAGTTACATCACCACGCTGGTTATATGACAACATCAGGGCCGTCTACTGACCTTGAACGAGATTCGACATGCTGGCTATTGGATAATCCACGGTCGAGCCTCAGTATCAAATGTCATCAACAAATGTGTGAAGTGTCGCAGACAACGAGGCACGTTCGCAAGCTTAGATCGGATCGAGGAACGAATTTATCGGGGCGAAAGGAGAGCTGACGCAAGCATGGAATAAGATGAACCAAGACCACGTCCATCAATTCCTTCTGACTAAGAACTGCGATTGGATCATGAATGTTCCTCATGCTTCTCATATGGGAGGTGTGTGGGAACGACAGATCAGAACAGTCAGATCAGTCATCTCCGCTCTTATGACTGAACTCGGCGACCAACTCGACGACGAGACTCTACGCACGCTCTTCACAGAGGCAGAGAATATTGTCAACTCCCGCCCATTAACTGCAGATGTCTCCGACCCCGACAGTCCAGAACCAATAACACCAATGCAACTACTTACGCTGAAATCTAAAGTTGTACTGCCACCACCTGGACAGTTCAGTCGACCTGATGTCTACAGTCGTAGAAGATGGAAGCATGTGTAATTCTTAGCAAATCAATTTTGGCAGAGATGGAGATGCGAATACCTCCAAAACTTGCAAATCAGAAAGAAATGGCAATGCCCCAACGAAACCTTCAGGTTGGTGATATTGTTATCGACAAAGACCTTCCGTGAAATCAGTGGCCGTTAGCGAAAGTCACCAAAACTTACCCCAATGATGATGGTCTAGTTCGAAAAGTTGAGATTCATAAGGCAACAAGCAACCTGGATAAGAATGGAAGAAGAATAGCTTGAGCAGCTTCAAACGTCAATTCATAAGTTGACAGTGTTGTTAGAAATGGTGGAGCAAGAAGAGACTGAAAGGAACGTCCCCGCCAAGGAGCAATGAACTTTAGTTGACATTTCTATGTGACCTTTAAAAGATATTCAGTTAATATTTAGAAAATGAGCAAAGTTGACATTTTGGGGAGCCGTGTAGCAGCCGCGACTTCCGGTTGACTGACTTCTGGGTTTTTCGCGCCCTTTTTAGATTGAAGTAGCTTAGTGATATCGAACTTTGGGGCGCTTTGTTGTGTTGCGGACTTGTTCATACGTTTTTCGCCAGATACCAGTGTCCTGTCATAGATATTTGTAAGTAGATTGTCAGCATTTATATCTGTTTCTGTCCAGTATTCAGTAATTCGTATTTATCCGTGTAATTCCTGTGTATTCGTATTTAGCACCGTTATTGATTGAGAATAAATTATAACTAATTTAAACTTGAGGCCCCACAACCAGTCTAACCAGCCGTGGGGCTGGCACACTAAGCCTATTATGGCGATTCTCGTGGTCAGAAAGTGTTCGGCCAACTTCGGATGCTAAATTCTTGGTAAAGCATTACAGTTTCCTGGTAAAAGACTGCAGAAATCACTTCTGGAGTGTTTGTTTAGCCTAGATACGGATTTTGATTGGCTTAGGCAGAAAAACAAACTTTTTAGAGCAATTTTCCTGATTATCGCGCATGAGAACGCACAAGCGTTGTAATGTAATTGTGTTGTAGTTGTATTGTTTCAATCGCATCCTGAAGATGTTCTTGGCTTTATTTTGCAAACTGATAGTGCTAGTAATGATGGAATGTCTTCGTATGAAGACAAGTATCTCAACCTGGCATTGGGAGTCGTGTCTGGAGTTTCAAGGCAAGTATTATAATTTTTAGACAATTTCTATTTCAATGTTTTGCCGTTGCCATTGCATTGTAAATTTATTTGTATTTAGTATAGCTTCACTAGTACGACCAAGTATGTCCTCATATCGCTTTTTTGTGTTGAAATAATCCTTTTATACTGAAATTGACAAATGTAAATGGTATTTATTTATAATGTTGACGAAATTTATGGTGTTTTAGGCATAAAAATCTCTGATTCCTAGGCGAAGTAAAATGAGCCTTCAACACATGTTTGGTTGTTTGTTACATACATAACAGCCAAATATTCATACTTACTACAATCTTTGTCAGAAACTATGGGACAAATAGAGAAACGTCTTAACACCGCTAATGTTCAGTTTCCTCCATGCCCCCTGTTCAATGTTGCTGCCATAATATATCACAAGCGAGACGTCTTCTGGCATAGACACAACATTGAAAAAGGGGTGGGGGAGGGAGTGGGGGATACTTATCTGTAAAAAATGCATA